ATAATAAAATATGTTAATAGGAAATAATCATTTTAAAAGTTGTGTCAACAAAATAAAATAAAATAATGCTGTGGAAGAGGATTTATTAAGATTGCATTCGTTGTAGAAACTAATTCAATGTCTTTTATTGCTTTAGATATCATGTTCTTAACGTAATATCATGTTATATAATCTAAGATATTAAAGAGAGTCTTAATATCAAAGTGGAAGACCATTTTATATGACTTAAAACTACTTATTAAGGATTATTTCTCTCTTAAGTAAATGTAGAAGCGTTTATATTCACTCAATAAATATTTTAATGTTTCATTGCGAACATACTAAGATTTTACCAACTTAACATAACAGATTATTATTATAAGATTATTTAAGTTTTCTCAAGAATCTTAACACATTTCCACTCCTTTGAGAGTATCAATGTTTTTAATGTTTAACATTGTACATTGTTGTATATTAACAGTTTTATGTACGCATATGTTCTAAATCTTAAGTAATCATTTATTTATATATGAAGACTGAGGCGTAAAAAACATTAACGATTTTGGTGACCCTAAGTCCAAAACAAAATACAAACGTGACCAAATGTAGCTTCAGCTTTAGGCCATTAATACCAATATTCTGTCCTGAGCTCGGCAGTCACTATTACGGAGGCTTTCTTTTGATTGGATCCTATAACAATTCTGTTGTATAACATTTTGTTATATATATATTTTTTTTAAAGGTAAAACAGAGTCTGAAAGGACTGTGTTGTTTGATAATTTTATTAAAAAGGTTATAGCATGAACAATCGTTTTAAATTAGTTATAATTTCGTGATATGTTGGATCTATTGTTTAATATTAGGTATTTTATGTTAAAGAATATAATTGTTTGTAGTTTTTATGTAGCTTTTTTTCTTAATATTCTAAGTTTTAAAATCATTTTTACTAAGCATAATCACAAACGCTAATTTGTAAGTAGTTTTATCGAAGTGGATTGCAGTTTTCAAAATAATATGTCAAATATTTTCAAACAATAATATTTTTTTAAACATGTTGTGAAAATTATTTTAAAAGAGTTTGCTGATCATATGGATTTATTAATTTTAAACTAAGTTAAACGTTTAAGCTGCGTACTAAAGTTAATAGTGTATTGTTTACAATATCTATGATTGAGTTTTTTGCAATTATATAAAAGAGTGTTCTTCCAAACATGTTGCTGCCTCCAAGCTAACGAAAAGAAAGACGAGTATTTGATGAGGATTTTATTAAAATTCCTTGTTAAGCGTAACGGAATCTCAAAATGTTTAACTGCTTCTTGTTGAGAGCATTCAGAAAGCATTCTTGAATCTTCATATCTTATGATAACTGAAAATTTAACTTATCTCAAATACAACATGGATTTTTGATGTATAAAAAATTTTGTATTAGGCCTATAATTTGTTTTGTAATTTAGATTCAGATAGTTTAACCTAACCTGCAATGAATAATGTTTATATAAATTTGCTAAAAAGTATCACTTAAACTGATTAAAAAATCTTTGACAACATTTTAAAAGCTAAGAGAAAAAGTTCAATCAATTTAAAGCAAAGAGTGTTGTCATTGTTAATATTGATTTTACCAGGTCAATCTATATAGGTAAAGAAAACTTATTAGTTTAGAAATTAATATTGAGTAAGGTCTGGTGTAAATTTTTGTTAGGAAACTACAAATCATGTATGTGTTTAAAAGTAAAATTAAAATAATTTCAGTCTTATAAATATAAGTAAGGATGAAGTATACACTATTTTGCCTCAAGAGACACAATTGTAAGTTATCTCATTCCCCAGAGACTGGTAATTCCTTTATATAAGGGTTGAAAGCATCGTTGACAATTATTGAGGAAATTCTTCAACAATCAAAAACTCATTAGAAGACACTGCTAATAAAATTTAAAATGTAATTGACCAATATCAAACGTATTAAAGAGGATTTTCGTTAACAAAAATTTATGTATCTTTTTATACTTTTATACAAAGAAGATAGTTCGAAGCATAGGTGTAAGAGACCGTAGGTTAAACTACCTGGGCTTACCAGTGACAAATATCTCTCCAGGTTTTGTAATGGATGCGGTCTAGGGTCCTAAACCTGGTCGTTCAACGGAAACCCAACCTACCGTGTACGAACAGTCTAATGTTTTGCAATCTAAGACAATTTTATAATTTTTTTAAGTTATGCTGTGACTTATCTAAGACTAATTATTTTACTAGGTTTAGCCTCATAATATTGCTCAGTACCCTAGAAAATCATTTTATTAAACAGCTTATATATTTCGGGTTGAAATCCTACAATGATACCAAATGTTGTTTAGGTTAGGAGTTTTGATTTTCGTTCATACTAATATCATTTTAACAATTAGCTAGGCAATCTTCTGGTATTCCGACCACGTGTTTATGTTATATCAACCACACCAGGTTATACTAGTTTATTATTTTGTGCATTAAAAAAATACACTTTCATTTAAAATGTTGCTATTCTAACCTAACCTAGTGTGGTCAGCACAGCAGAAAATTGCTTATATACGGATTATATAAACCCCTATGGTTTAAATTCTAGGTTGTATTTGGTTTGTGTATACAATGTGCTTTATAGGATAAAAGGGTTATGAGTGATTAGGGCATCTATGTTCACCCCCATATTTCAAGGAGGGCAATGAAAGAGGAGGTTAAGTTGACAATCAAATCAGTTATGCTCCAACGATTTTGATAACTTGATTTAAACGTATAATGCACAATATATTATTGATAGTGATAAAATGAGTAACAGCACTGGTGACAAACACACTGAAACTCTCTATCATACACAAGCTGTTCTTTTCGACCTATTATTTAGTCACTCGAGTCTATCAAGTCGGAGGAAGTTTTAACGTGACGTAAAAAGCAATAATTAGTCGTTTTTAAACAAGTAACACCTTTGATTTTGAAAACTAATCAGTTATAGATTCCTGAGAGAAAACTCAATCTCATACTGCGTAAGCATTTCTAAAGGGATTTGTTTGGTCATTGTTTAGCCAGTATTTACCATTGGGGCTTCTTGCGTGCATTTTATATTCTGTGTGCTTAGTCTCTCACAGTTCAAGCTGGAACAAACCCGTAGTAGATGACGAGAATTTAAAATCACTCCTTATTTCTTATCAGAGTTTATTTTTTTATAAGCAAACTCAAGCTTAATGTAATTTTATATTTATTAATGCATAATTTAATTTCTGTGAAAGATCTCAAATGTATAAATTAGTTTAAGCCATAAATAAATTAATCTAATTAAATTGAATTGAACCAAACGAGAGTTTAACTGTTAAAACATTAAAGTTTAAAATACTGCTTGAAACAATTTTTTTTTTTACATAGTTCTATTTACAATCTGTTTTTCATTAAACAATAAGTAAATATGATGGCATTTTTAACAATAAAATAAAAATTTAAAATTATGTAATGCTTGATTAAAGTTTATAGGATTAAAGAGAAGTAGGAGCTATATAAAAATGAATCTCCGCTAAGTTAAACAATCAGTGAGTGCGTTCATTTAAATCCTCAACTGTAATATCTTAAGTGCTTTTCCCTAGTTTTACTAACAGTTTTAACGTTTTTAAACGAATATGGAAGCAATTAGAAGAGTGTTCTTATATAAGGAATAGTCTCCATCTCAATTACTTAAACGAAGAGTTACTGAGTGCAACGTGTAATTCAGTCCCACATTAGTATTAATTTTAGTTCTACGATTGTCGTAGTTTACTTATGTTTGCTGGTATGGATGTGTTATGCTTTAATTTGATTTATATGTACTAGGTGAAACCCGTCGAAATCGACGGTCACTGGCAAGGCTTACGCTCATTTTTCATCTACGGAAAGTTAGGTGTAGTGGAATATACTTGAAGTGAAGTTGGCTTTTACTGTTTAAAGGGACCTCCTCGTTTATATGGTTGTGCGGCTTCATTGGCAACAAATAATTCAAATTACGTAACAATGCGGCATTTCCAAAAAGCAATAAATACTGTAAATTGGCTGTTACGTAAATATTGACGTTTACATGTATTGTTAAACAACGTATCTTATAAAGGATGATGTGATCTAGTTTAAAAAGAATATGACCTTTCTGTCATGGCAGTAGCTGCTTAAATAGTATTTACTCTTTGTGCCTTTTTTTACAGCCAAAATGTCGTGTTATTTTAAATCACGTTAACAACCCAGTGAGCCACGGTCCGTAATATAGACCACTTCAAATAATTTGTCAAGATAGGTACCTTTTAGGCCAGGTTTCTGTGTTTGGGTGTTATTACACACGATAAGAGCACAATAAACTTCTTCTGCAGATAAATAATCTGCTGGAGAAATATAAGCCGAATTATAAATGACACAATGTGAGTTTGATCATTTTGTAACTATATGGGTAAGTGACTTAGTATTTTCGAGGCTGCTGCTCAGTGCACTTTAAGAATATATTTTTAGAGATAAATTAAATGGTTTTTGTTTTTTGTTGCTGAGTAGCGTTAGTAAACATGCACAACCCATTTCGTTATTCTAATAACATTCATTCAAGGGCTCTCTAAGAGTTCAAATTCTTATTTGTATACTTATCTATATTATGTTTTCACTAAGCTGAATTAACAACATCGAAGTAACCTCTCTGAAAAGTCTGTAGTAAATTGCAGTTTTACAGCTTAATGCCTTTCTAAATCATGCACATATTTCTACATAATTATTGTAAAATGTTTTTTCCAGTTGCTGTAAACTTCTATTAATTTAGAAAAATATGGACACTGCTCAAATGGGCAATGTGCCCTTCTACACTTGTTTAATTTTGTATTGTATTACACGATCCAAGATTTTTCCAATGATTGAAAACATGTATAACAATAATCTCGTGAACCTATGATGATCTGTAGAATAATATGATAAAATATAGACAAAAGTGGGGGAAAAGGCAGACAACAACCCTGAAAAGGGTGAGGGTACTGAGGGGTGAGATTACTGAAAGGCGTGGGTACTGAGGGGTGATGGTACTGAAGGGCGTGGGTACTGAAGGGTGAGGGTACTGAGGGGTGAGGGTACCGAGGGGTGAGATTACTGAAGGGCGTGGGTACTGAGGGGTGAGGGTACTGAGGGGTGAGGGTACTGAAGGGCGTGGGTACTGAGGGGTGAGGGTACTGAAGGGTGAGGGTACTGAGGGGTGAGGGTACTGAGGGGTGAGGGTACTGAAGGGCGTGGGTACTGAGGGGTGAGGGTACTGAGGGGTGAGGGTACTGAAGGGCGTGGGTACTGAAGGGTGAGGGTACTGAAGGGTGAGGGTACTGAGGGGTGAGGGTACTGAAGGGCGTGGGGTACTGAAGGGTGAGGGTACTGAAGGGTGAGGGTACTGAAGGGCGTGGGTACTGAGGGGTGAGGGTACTGAGGGGTGAGGGTACTGAAGGGCGTGGGTACTGAAGGGTGAGGGTACTGAAGGGTGAGGGTACTGAGGGGTGAGGGTACTGAAGGGCGTGGGTACTGAGGGGTGAGGGTACTGAGGGGTGAGGGTACTGAAGGGCGTGGGTACTGAAGGGTGAGGGTACTGAAGGGTGAGGGTACTGAAGGGTGAGGGTACTGAAGGGCGTGGGTACTGAGGGGTGAGGGTACTGAGGGGTGAGGGTACTGAAGGGCGTGGGTACTGAAGGGTGAGGGTACTGAAGGGTGAGGGTACTGAGGGGTGAGGGTACTGAAGGGCGTGGGTACTGAAGGGTGAGGGTACTGAAGGGTGAGGGTACTGAGGGGTGAGGGTACTGAGGGGTGAGGGTACTGAAGGGCGTGGGTACTGAGGGGTGAGGGTACTGAAGGGCGTGAGTACTGAAGGGCGTGGGTACTGAGGGGTGAGATTACTGAAGGGCGTGGGTACTGAGGGGTGAGGGTACTGAAGGGCGTGGGTACTGAGGGGTGAGGGTACTGAAGGGCGTGGGTACTGAGGGGTGAGATTACTGAAGGGCGTGGGTACTGAGGGGTGAGGGTACTGAGGGGTGAGGGTACTGAGGGGTGAGGGTACTGAAGGGCGTGGGTACTGAGGGGTGAGGGTACTGAAGGGCGTGGGTACTGAGGGGTGAGGGTACTGAAGGGCGTGAGTACTGAAGGGCGTGGGTACTGAGGGGTGAGGGTACTGAAGGGCGTGAGTACTGAAGGGCGTGGGTACTGAGGGGTGAGATTACTGAAGGGCGTGGGTACTGAGGGGTGAGGGTACTGAAGGGCGTGGGTACTGAGGGGTGAGGGTACTGAAGGGCGTGGGTACTGAGGGGTGAGATTACTGAAGGGCGTGGGTACTGAGGGGTGAGGGTACTGAGGGGTGAGGGTACTGAAGGGCGTGGGTACTGAGGGGTGAGATTACTGAAGGGCGTGGGTACTGAGGGGTGAGGGTACTGAAGGGCGTGGGTACTGAGGGGTGAGGGTACTGAAGGGCGTGGGTACTGAGGGGTGAGATTACTGAAGGGCGTGGGTACTGAGGGGTGAGGGTACTGAGGGGTGAGGGTACTGAAGGGCGTGGGTACTGAGGGGTGAGGGTACTGAAGGGCGTGGGTACTGAGGGGTGAGGGTACTGAGGGGTGAGGGTACTGAAGGGCGTGGGTACTGAGGGGTGTGGGTACTGAGGGGTGAGGGTACTGAAGGGCGTGGGTACTGAGGGGTGAGATTACTGAGGGGTGAGGGTACTGAAGGGCGTGGGTACTGAGGGGTGAGATTACTGAAGGGCGTGGGTACTGAGGGGTGAGGGTACTGAGGGGTGAGGGTACTGAAGGGCGTGGGTACTGAGGGGTGAGGGTACTGAGGGGTGAGGGTACTGAAGGGCGTGGGTACTGAGGGGTGAGGGTACTGAAGGGCGTGGGTACTGAGGGGTGAGGGTACTGAAGGGCGTGGGTACTGAGGGGTGAGGGTACTGAAGGGCGTGAGTACTGAAGGGCGTGGGTACTGAGGGGTGAGGGTACTGAAGGGCGTGAGTACTGAAGGGCGTGGGTACTGAGGGGTGAGATTACTGAAGGGCGTGGGTACTGAGGGGTGAGGGTACTGAAGGGCGTGGGTACTGAGTGGTGAGATTACTGAAGGGCGAGGGTACTGAAGGGCGTCTGTACTTAGGGGTGAGGGTACTGAGGGGTGAGATTACTGAAGGGCGTGGGTACTGAGGGGTGAGGGTACTGAAGGGCGTGGGTACTGAGGGGTGTGGGTACTGAGGGGTGAGGGTACTGAAGGGCGTGGGTACTGAGGGGTGAGATTACTGAAGGGCGTGGGTACTGAGGGGTGAGGGTACTGAGGGGTGAGGGTACTGAAGGGCGTGGGTACTGAGGGGTGAGGGTACTGAAGGGCGTGGGTACTGAGGGGTGAGGGTACTGAAGGGCGTGGGTACTGAGGGGTGAGGGTACTGAAGGGCGTGGGTACTGAGGGGTGAGGGTACTGAAGGGCGTGAGTACTGAAGGGCGTGGGTACTGAGGGGTGAGGGTACTGAAGGGCGTGAGTACTGAAGGGCGTGGGTACTGAGGGGTGAGATTACTGAAGGGCGTGGGTACTGAGGGGTTAGGGTACTGAAGGGCGTGGGTACTGAGGGGTGAGATTACTGAAGGGCGAGGGTACTGAAGGGCGTCTGTACTTAGGGGTGAGGGTACTGAGGGGTGAGATTACTGAAGGGCGTGGGTACTGAGGGGTGAGGGTACTGAAGGGCGTGGGTACTAAGGGGGGAGGGTACTAAAAGGCTTGGGGGTGAGGGTACTTAGAGGTGATGGTTCTAAGGGGGAGGGTACTGGGGGGGATGCTGAGGGGGGGGGAGTGTGCGTCAGTCGGTAGTTATACTTTTGAAACCCACTACTTCCCATATTAAATTTCTATCCATACCAGGTGATATATTACATTTAACATTGATAGTCTGCATGCTTATATGAACGAGGTCTGACTATTAATCATTAAAGACGCTCTGAATTGCTATTCAATAATAAATAATGTACGTAAACTGCGCCAAGTGCTGGTTTTATTTTTGAAGTATTTTGCAAACTAAGCATTGTCAAGCTAATAAATCAACATATTTTATTCGTACCTTAAATTGTCCATAACGGTCAAGGTATTTACATAGTAGGCCTGTGTAAGTAATACGTTTCAAACAGTTTTCATTCACTAAATTTTTTCAGACATAGCCTACATTTATAATCATGCAATATCAGAATAATAATGACAAAAGGGTTAGGCTATTTAAAATTGCCATATAAGATACATAACGTAAGAAAAATTTTGTCGATTCATTAAAACAGCTCAACCAGAATGTGAAACGGATCCTCTTAGAATACGTAATGTGAAGTCAAAAGAACACTTAGCATTCCTAACAGAATAAGAAACCGTTTTGTTTAATATGAATGCACTAATGTCTTTTTCTGGTGTTTTATTATATGAAAGCCACTTCGGTTTCATAGTTACCTTTTGTAAGCCTAATCTGTAAGAATTGAAAATTTAAATAGTGATAATTTAGTTTTAATTTTGATGTTCACATTTTGAGGAAGGCTTTAAGTACAGGTATATCTTCTGAAGTAATGCCACACTTCGAGATTTTATCTTTCGCAACAATTTGGTAGATTATTTGCAAAACGTTTTGTAGTTAGAAAGTTTACTCCTCAGGGTGTTTTTATACCTAAGATTACAACTGAAAGCCATACAACTTAAATGAATGTTTTAAATTCATGAATAGCTTTAAGTTATACTTAGTTAAACATTCTATGGAACGTGATTGAAAGTGTTAAGTCAAAAGCCAATAATAAGATTTTCAGACTTTTATATCATAATCAGAAGAGGTCAATCTTAACTTTTGGCCCTAATACAAAATTTCACACGAATAACATCTGATACACTCCTTATGAAAACCTTATTGACTTATTCCACTATTATTAGGAATATTTCTAATAATTATTCCTAACAGACTCCTAACGTAGTAACAGAATTTCATATTCTGTTTTCACCCCACTTTCAATTTAAATTTGAGTTTCAAAAGTGACACGTGGAATAAAGGTTCAACATTAATATTATGTGTTATATGTGTGACACATAAGGCTGACTTCTCAAGCACATATTAAACTCATCAAGGTTACAGAGAAACAAAATCCAACATCAAATCAAACCTTGTAAGGTTAGCTTTGATACAAAGCTTTATTCTCGACAGAATTTAATTCGTTACTCAAAACTCCTGGTTAAGTAGATTGATGGATACAAATATAATTTTGTTAATACAATAGTTCTATTTTCTATAAATGCAGTTATAAGTAACTTATATTGCATTGTTCTATCATAACTATTAAATATATATGAAGTAATTTTAAAATTAACCAAGTATGTTATGTTAAGTACCGTCACCGGTAATTATAACATTAACAGTTTGCTTTGGTTTAACTTTCCTGTACCTTCATTTGTCATGGGCTAAATGTTTTCGTGGATTTTTCTAATATTCCTTGAAGGTTTGTTGTTGTATTGGACAGTTGTTTTTAGTGACATAATGTGTTTAAAACACACTGCAAAGGGAAACCAGAGGTTGATTATTGTAAACTTATAATAACTGATTATTGTAAAATTTTACGTAATAAATTCTAACCTGGATATCAATATGTAATACATTAGATTAATTTAATTTAAATTGCAGTGAGGAATAATTTGGTCTACAAACGTTTAAAACGCATACCTTCGACCCCAAGATATAAACTCAAATCTGCTTATTTACTACAAAACCACTTCACATGCTTTAAATCACATAACTGCGTTATACGTTGTAGCTTAAGTATGAAAGTAATATAAGCGTTAAGCCATAAATTTCAGTATGAAAGGTTGGTACCCGCGGCAGTGTCGCATCGTGTGTATAAACGAATAGGGTCAAACATAAAACATATCGAGCAGCTCATAAAATTGCCTTTGTGTAACTAACCTAACTAGAAATATTGTATTGCTTTTAAACTGCTTTCGGTGTTAAGTAAAATTAGGGATTCAGTCTTTCATTGGACCGTGTTCATGAATAAAAAGTAGATTTGAAAAGGAAAAGACCATTGGATCAATTATATTTATCAACAGTAAACTGATTGCAATGTAGAGCTATTTATATTAACATTGCATTAGTTGAGAAAAATTATTGTTAGACATTGATGTCCTGTTTATCAGAATGACACGATAAAATTCGATTAAATTTTAGTAATGGGTGTTTCCAAATACAGCAAACGTTTTAATAATTTCGAGATCTATATATTTATATTTTTATATACAGTATGTATACTAATACAGCTTAAGATGTGGTTCTGAACTTCTACGATGTATTACCAAATAGTATTAAGTCATAAGTGATCGGTCGGAATTAAACTAGTGAGCCTCCTGGACAAAGGTCGTGTGTATTTAACCCCCCCCCCCCCCAGCCAGCGACACTTACCAAAATGATATTATAATGCCAATAAACAAATATATTTTATTCATGATGTGGCTCCTCAAGTCAGGGGACAATCGTGTAATCAAGGTTATACCTACATACCTTCAGTCCAAGGGATTATTTTTTTAGTATAAAGATTGTGTATTTATACATTTGGGGATTGTTTAAATTAATTTCAACTAATCAGAGTGACTGATTTTAATTCATTTCGTAAAAAACAACCCCAATCTACGAGAAAATTTACTTAATCACTTAACATGTGTTCTATAAGTTGAAACGTAATTCTATTTACTGTGAGTTGTAGATTGGTATTCAGAAAGGCGGAACAACAACTAATCAAGACAACATCTACTTCAGACTAATAGTTGTTGTCTTACCTTGTACCTCAGTCAATCTATTGTCAACCCATCGTAATTAAACGTGCTTGTGGAACTCAACATAAAGTAATTTTCTGGTGATAAGTAAAGTTAAGTAAAGTAGGCCTAAAGCTATGTTTCGGTTACTAAAGAGGATGTGTGATGTAATTAGCTATTTTTATTTTTCATAACACCTGCTAATATGATATAAATATTTTTTTTATTTCCAGCCAATTCTTAAATGAGTTTAGGAAATAAATTTGGTTCCACTCCTCAGTAAAGATAAGAATTTATAATTTTGAAAATTTAAGGCACAAAGGGAAACGGTTTCTTATGTATAATTAATTAGGTAGGCCTATTCCTACAAAATTAAAATATTACAATTAGAAAGTTTTTAAATCCGTTAAAATTCAATAGGTTTTGTTAAGGGATGGTTCAAACTCTGTTCTTGTGCATTCTAACGTTCATATTTTATTTCGATAGACAAACAATAAATGCATTTAAGTCTACCTAGGATTGAATCAGCCACCTAAAAATTTAAAGCCAGGCATTCTAACCATTCAAATACACAGATAATCATATCTTTGAGAAACAGTAGATGTGCCAACATTATCAATTCTTGTTAATAAGTCGGCTTCTTAAGTAAGAAGCTTATCCTGATGTTTCATCATATATGTTCTGGAACAAAGCCATTAATGTGAATACGTCCAAAACATTAGTTCCAAATAAAATGCATGTTCTCACATTATAGCAGACGTTCTTGTTAACTAAGCATAATATAGCTAGTGTTAGCTTAAGAACTAAGGGGAAGGAATCAATTTAAATTCAACGATTAAAAGATAATATTCGCTAAGGACCATTCAAGTTTTGATACTATGGGAGTATGTTTCCTAAAACCAAATACATAATGGTTTTGAATTTAATTGTTAAATACATAGTTTTGATAACTATTCAGATCTAGAATGTGTAAATAAAAACAACATAAGTAACAAAGTTGATATTAAAATGCAAAATATGCTATAACATAGTTATGAATAATATTTTTGTTAAGTAGTGTTATAGTACTGTATTATAGAAAACTAGCAGAGTACCCGTCCTTCGTACGGGGTTGGCGTATAAGTATAAAATGCTTATTGCAGTTATACTGTACTTGGCTTTGCGTTTGCAATGGGAGAGGACACAGTTTAAGATAATTTGGTTATTTTAATTTACGGTATTCTATAATATAGCACATTTACCATAGCCATAATGTTCTACCACTACACCTAAACAATAAAAAAACGTAAATGTCTCATTGTATATCACAACTTTTTGTTGCTAGTTGGTTCAAATTAGCTTATATTATAGAAAATATAATGTTCCGATTTGAAATTGGCATTGTAAAAAAACCTTTGAAATATTCACATATTCATTGAAAATAGAATATACTTTAATGGATTTGAAATAACAGGTTATATGTTTGAAAAAAAAAAATTAAAGTTCAGGGAAAATGTAGATAAGATCAAAATATTCAACGCAGATTCATTAAATGGTTTATCCATGACAGTCTGGTATATTTAGTGGCATTTTTGCAGAAAATTTTCCGGATTAAGAATTTTTCAAATTAATCGGATGAAAGTTACATTTAGATAGTACACAACAAGCTATATTTGGACATTATAATCCTGGCGATTGTTCGTGACTCAAAGCTCGAACGCAGCTCGATCGACGTCCACGTACGCTCCTGTGAACGGCTCCATTTTACCCTGTGGTCTGCTACCTAGTGACTTTACCTGTGACTAGTTACAGCCTAGTCAGCTAGATAAGTCGCTCGAGTGAACAGCTCCATTCGACCCTGTGGTCCGCTACCTAGTGACTTTACCTGTGACTAGTCACAGCCTAGTCAGCTAGATAAGTCGCTCGAGTGAACAGCTCCATTCGACCCTGTGGTCCGCTACCTAGTGACTTTACCTGTGACTAGTCACAGCCTAGTCAGCTAGATAAGTCGCTCGAGTGAAAAGCTCCATTCGACCCTGTGGTCCGCTACCTAGTGACTTTACCTGTGACTAGTTACAGCCTAGTCAGCTAGATAAGTCGCTCGAGTGAACAGCTCCATTCGACCCTGTGGTCCGCTACCTAGTGACTTTACCTGTGACTAGTTACAGCCTAGTCAGCTAGATAAGTCGCTCGAGTGAACAGCTCCATTTGATCCTGTGGTCCGCTACCTAGTGACTTTACCTGTGACTAGTTACAGCCTAGTCAGCTAGATAAGTCGCTCGAGTGAACAGCTCCATTCGACCCTGTGGTCCGCTACCTAGTGACTTTAC